GACGGCCAGCTGCAGGGGCAGAGCTGCCCGCCAGCACAGGGCAGGGCAGAGGTGTGCGGAAAGGGGACCATGCTCAGCCTCCCAACCTGCTCGGCCTCCCCAGGTCCCAGGGCTGCACCCCTCCCTGCAGAACGGGCGGCTGTCACAGGAATGCAGGGTGTCCTGCTGGTCCTGCCCCACTGCTGCCTGTGGCCTCACGGGCACCTGGGCCCCCACCCCACAGTTGTGGGGCGTCGCCTGAGCCCCAACTCTGCCCTCCCCAGGCTCAGCCTCCTTCCTTAGTATGGAGCAGGCCTCCTCCAAGTTCGCTCCTTTTAGGGAAATGAGGGAAAAGGGGGCTGTCGCTTAGTAATTAAAGACAGCCCGTGGGGCTGGGCCGGAGCCAGGGCTTCATCCCGCCCGGCAGCGGCAGCAGCAGCGGCTGAGGGAGACCAGACCTACCTCGGGCCCCCAGTGACAGGGCCTTTGGGCTTGGGGAAGACCCACTAGCTGGGGCTCCCTAGCTCGAGACAGGGCCGGGTGTCCAGGGTGAGAACGAAAGCTGGCCAGGGTGGAAATGCCTGGAATGACGCCAGCTCAGGGCTGGTGTGGCATTCACGGGTGGAGAGTGATGGGGTACAGATCAGAGGCGAGCCCGGTCCCTAGGGATGAGCCAGGCCTGCCTGGTGTGGGCGCTGGAGCCCCTCACGCACACACGTGAGCTGCTGGCCACTGGGTGCCGTCTCCATGGAGACCAGCTCTCCCAGTTCCCTTTCTGCCCATTTGCTTTGGCTCCCCTCGGGGAGCTCCAGGGAATGACATGGCCCTGCTTGGTCTTCCAGGACCCTGCCCCTTGCTCTGCAGCCCTGGAGGGACCCCCGCCCCATTCCCTGTCACCCTCCATCCTGCCCTCCCCGTGGACCAGCTGGGGCTCACGCCAGAGCCCTGGGCTGCCGCCCTCCCACTCACGTGCTGCTGAATCATTTGAAAAAAATGCATGGGGCCTGGGAGGCTTTGCTGAGAACAGTGCGGCTTTGTGGAGGGAAGAGCCGCTCTGCACTTTCTCCGCCAAGACCCGCGGAGGAGCCAGCTCAGTCCTGCCAACCCCCGCAGAGGGGAGAGGGGGCAGGGCAGCGCTGGGCAGAGGGGGCAGCACAGGGCTGGCAGGAGGTGAGGCAGCCCCTGCCATGCCCCTGACCTCAGGCCCGGGACGCACTAAGCATGAGGCCACCTATGAGGGGTCTGTCCTCACACTGCCTGGGACGGGGGTGTGTGGCCACGGGCAAGTACTACCCCCTCCAGGTTGGCTCAGTTTCAGGTCGCGGGGCCAGCCTACCCTAAGGTATGTGGCCCATGGACTGAACCGACTCACTGAACTCTTGGGAGACAGAGACAGAGACAGCACAGGGCTTGGATTCCCAGGCTCCTGTGGAGAGAAGGCGGGTGTGAGGGTCTCTGCCCACGCCTCTCCACTGCCCTGGGCCTTGCGAGCAGCACCCCACATTGACCAGCCTGAGGACGCGGCCTGGTTCACTGGAGCTGCCGCCAAGGAAGACGCACGGACCCTCTGTCCCCTGGCCAGCTGGGTGGGGCCGAACGCCGCCGGGTTCTCAGGACTCCCGATGATCTCACGGCCATCTTTCTCTGTTGGAAGAACCACTGCAGGTCGGAGGGCATCCCCTCTCCATTTTAAAGTCCCATTTTCCCCTCACTACGTGTTCGAGGTCTGGGTATCAGTGTCTGAGCCACAGCCACGGCCAGCCGGGCGGGGCAGAGGTGAGGTGTGAGCAGAGCACGGAGCACGGGGTGGCACCCCGGCCTCTGTCTCCCCCAGAACCCTCCAGCACAGCGGGCGTGGGAGCAGCCAGGCCACCCCACGCTGCTGGCCTCTCCCAGTCCCAGACAGCTGACCTCAGCAGCAGACAGCTGACTCCACGGTCCCCTGCACACTCTGGGCAAACAGGGCAACCTGTCCAGCACCGGGTCCCAGTGCTTC